GTCTGCAAGGTGACAGCATGGGTGCGGCCAGGCCCGATGGTGGCCCCCTACACAACCCTCAGCAGCACCCCAACCCTGGGGCACAGGGGGCGGGCATGTGTCCACTCCCCACCCCCCGCCCCCTCCCCCAGCAGGGTGCCAAAGCGAGGAACGGGCAGGGACACATTAACCGGTGCGACCCCACAATTAAAGCTGCCGCTGTTGACCACGGTGAGAGCAGCTCTGCCTGCCAACACCAGCCGCCATCACGTCTCCCCGCTGCCGGCTCCCCCCAAGTGTTTATTTAAGCCAACACATTGCTCTGCTAATTGGATAACATTCCATGTGAAAATAGACCTTTTAAAACAACAGCAGCGGCAGCAAATAAAACCAGCTGCAACTGCCAAAGTACAAAGGCGCGGCGGGCTCGGGAAGGGAAAAATTAAAGGCGCATGCATGGGAAAAAAATTAATATTCTGGTTTCCGGGCCGCGAGTCCATTCTTCGCGTCCTTTCCCTTCCGGGCCGCCCTTCCCTTCTCTCCTCCAGGACCAGCCTGCTCTGGGCAAAGAGAGAGGAGGTGGCGGCTGCGGAAAGAATCCCAGTGGCTACCGGGGGCCCCTCCGAGGCCAGGCTGCTGTTGGGCCCGGGGGTCTGACAGCTGACACGTGTGCTGGTGGGGCTGATCCTAGGGTGCTCACTCCTTCTCTGGATGCGGGGGGGGGGCTCATTTCAGCCTGGGCGGGCTCCCAAGAGATGCTCTGCCCCCCCACCCCCACCGAAACGTCTCTAATTGGCAAGCCCCTCTCTCTGCTGGGTGCTGAAGAGAGGAGGGGCTGACGCTCGGGGTAAGTGAGCAAGTGACCGTGAGGGAAAGCCCTGGACGCACGGCTTCGGCATCTGGTCGGCACGTGGGCCGGCTCTGCCCAGTCCTGGCTGCATGACCCCAGGGCCAGTGACTTCACCCCTTGGAGCCTCAGTGTCCTCAGGTGTCAAATGCCACCCACCACTTACCTCCTGCAGTCCTGGGAGGAAGAAGAGTGACAAATGCAAATGCTTAGCACCCTCCCTGCCGAAAACAAGGTGTGAGAAGTTGACAGTTTTGATCAATGCCAATGTTTCTAGAAGGAAACATCAGGGTCCAGAGAGCCATGTGGTGCCTGAGACAGGGAGAGAGCCGTGCATGTGGGCGCAGACCCAGGCTACCCAGGGAAGACCACTGCATCTGGGACGGTTCGAGTCCTTGACTTTCCAGGCCTCCCTCGTCAGCCTCTGTCCCACGCCCCTCCACCTCGAGGGGAGAGGTTCTTTGAGAAACATCAGCTCATCACCTCTGGAGTTTTAGGGAACTCTGGCACTTTCAGAGGGACTGACACTTCCTGGCCTGGACATCAGGGCCAACGAGCATCCTAGGATGGGGGAATGTGCCGGCTCACTGAGCCCGTGAGTCCGTGATGAGGGGAGACAGGTCTCCTCCAGCGTAGTGCCTCGGCCCCGGAGCCAGAGCTGGGCCTCCCGTTGGTGCACAGGGATCGCTCCACAGGGATCGGTCCACGGGGCTCCGCAGCGGCTGCACAGATGGATGGAGCTCGGCGGCCGTGGGGAGCCACGGGGAGGGAGTGATGCAAATCTCCTGCCCAATTCCCGGGGCTGCTGCAGGTTGGGGCGAGACAATGCGTGCGCGGTGTACATGTCACATACAAAGCCAGCGCGATCGGTCGCGGGAGCCTCTGGCTATTGTCATCAGTTGCCTGGTTACTCCGAGCTCTGCCACGACAGCCTCTGTGGAGCCTCATGCCAGGAATCTCTTTCCAGTTTGGGGGTGTGCGCTTGACCCAGAGGGGCCTGACAGATAACAAAGTCCCTGATCACGTGCGGGGTGCGACACGGTGTTGTGGAGAAAGGTCGGAGGACTCAGTGCGTGGCGCGGGGGTGGCGCAGATGGGCACGTGTCAGGGCCCCAGCAGACGGCAGTGCCGAGGGGCTGCCTCTAGGGACCAACCGGGGCCTAATTCTCTCCTCTGACAGCCGATGGAGGGGCTGGTTGATGCTGGGGAAGGAGCACTGTGCTGGGAGCCGACATACCCAGGTTCAGGCCCCGGCCCCACCTGGAAACTGTTAGTTCCTCCATTGCTTTCCAGACTCATCGCTGTGTAGTGCGCTGTTCATGACCCCCTCCCGCCTCGCCCCTCTCCCTCACATCTGAGCACTGCCCAGGTCCCCGGGAATGGGGGGGAGGCTCCAACACCAGGTTCAAGGGTTGCCGATGCCGAGAGTGACGACCTCCATCTCCGCAAGGGCGTCCTGCCAGGCAACGGGAGTGAAGCCCCCCGTGAGGGATTCGCGTGGGTCAGGGAATCAGTCAAGCCCTGAAAAGGCTTCTAAAGGAGGTGTCCCTCCTCAAGGGCTTCCGAAGGAGGAGAGCCACACACGGGAAGCCCGCTGTGGGAATGGGGATCAGGCACATTCCTCTAGCATTCCCACAAATTCCTCCTGCGGCAGTAAACCGAGATCTTGGGGTGTTCTACTCAGTGTCTCCTCATGGCCTCGTGCTCTGTCTTCAGACTCACAGCCACCCTCGTGCTGGCTCAACACATACAGTAGTCAGAATTCTATTCACCAGCATGCAGCGCACACGGCTCTCTGGGTCAGCGGCGGGCGCTAAACGTGCCACTCGGAAGACAATAAAGTTCTTCAGACAGACACGGAGAAGGAGAGGGAGAAGCAGCTTCCCCGGGAGGCGAAAAGAGCAAAGGGATGTGTGCAGGGAGGACGCGCTCCCGGTGGGTTCACACTTTGGTGAGGGCCGGCTCGTAGGGTGGCAGCCACAGGGGAGAGCTGCTGCAGGGGTGGGGGGATGCCAGGGCCAGAAGTGGCCCCAGAGCCTGGCCGGCCGCCTGTCAGAGCTGAGGGGCAGGAGGGGCCAAAGCTGGAGGGGCTGTGAGTTGAGTCCTCCCTGTCCTCGGCTGCCCTTTCTTCTCCCGGAGCCCAGAATGGAAGGCAGGCGGGGAAGGGGTGAAGCGAGAGGAGTGACCTGCATAAATCACCAGAGGGCTGTGCTGGCCGGCCGGCCTCCGGAAACATCCTCTGCAGCCTGGCTCTGGTGCCATGAGCTGCCCAGCTGGCCACTCGCTCCGCCCTGTCTACCCGAGGGGCCCCTTCTGTCCCTGGGATCTCAAAGGACACAAGTGCCCTGACCGCGTCCCCGCAATGCAGTGCCTGGAACTGGAGGCCGGGAGCCCACGGCCTGGTCTGACCCTCCGGCACCAAGAGCCGCGTCAGTTCTGACAGCAACCTCTGCCCTGGAGAGAGGCCGCTGTGTGGAAGACGGATGCCTTCCAGTTGCAGGGCTTGGATGGCTCTTTGCTCTGCTCTGTCCCATCCCTCCTCCTTTTCAGATCAGCGCCCTTGTCACCAGTGTCACCACCTTCCTCCTCATCACAGCTAACAGACGGAGCTCCCAGGGCCAGCACCATCCTAAGAACACCACCCCATCCCCACCCCACGACAACCCAAATGAAGAAAACCCTATCACCGTCTCATACAGGGGGAAACCGAGGCACACAGAAAGTAAGGCGCTTGCCCAAGGTCACACAGCGGGTAGCGGCACAGCTGGGATTCTGACTCAGGCGGTCGAACGAGCCCCCTCGGAAGAGGCAGCTCTCTGGGGCGGGGGGTGGCTCCCCCCTCCTGTTCTCCCCTGCTCACAACCTGATGCAGGACCCCTGATAGCAAACAACGGTTCTGTACCCCTTGCTGTCTTACAGCTGAGGAACCTGAGGTGCAGGGCAGGCTCGGGAGGCCAAGTGGCCGGCAGGAGGGCGCTCTGGACGGCTGCTCTCCGAGGCTTCCCTCCAAGCCAACGCGGGTCCCCCAAAGGTGCCTGCCCCGCTGACGGGAACCAGGGCCAGGCAGGGCCTGTTGCGCGCAGGGGGTGCCGCTCCTGCTGCCACGCACAGGAGGCAAAGGGAAAGACTGCCAGCCGAGAAGAAAGGGGAGCAGATGTCCGGACAAACGCGGCCACGTGTCAACAAAACAGGCACTTGAGTTCAAGACGCTGAGACAAAGGTGGCTGGCAAGGCTCCCCGAGGTCCCATGAGTGCCCTCTGTGCCTGCGCGGGTTCCCAGGACCCACAAAGGCTGCAGCTGTGTCCCTGAGATGTCACCTTCCGCTCCTCCCACTGGGCCTCTGGCAACGGCAGCTCGCCGAAGGCCAACGGGTGGGATTCTAACACACAGCCCCTGCTCTGCAGAAGGCCGCCTCGTGTGACGTGGAGGGGATCCCGCCCGTTGCTTCACCGTACCCTTGAGGAAAGATGAGGCCAGCAGAGGGGAAACACACAGGCTCATGATGGAGCCCCCAGACATAGCTGGACCCCCGACCACACCGTCTCTGCTGCTGGGCTGGGCCCCGCACCCACTGGACTCCCCCCGCCCCCTGTGCTGCACTGAGCCCAAATCCTGAGAGGCTTCCTTGATTCCAGAATGAAAGGTGCTGTGTCTCCAAGGAGCCTGGGAAATTCTGTACCTGTGCGTATACACCTGCCTGGGCTGACCTCACCTATAACCAACACAACTGAGAGGCCCCAGCCACAAGTGGGAAAATGTGTGTCCCGCTGGCCACGTCTCCTTCCCGAAGCGCTGGCCCCCAGCCCCTGCCATGCTGCACGGCGTCTCCCACGCTGCTCGCCTCAGGGTGCTCACGACCGGGGAGCTCTGTCTGAGCTGGGGAGGCCCGGGAAACCCACCGGCCTCCCTACCTTGTATCCCAGGTTCCTGCGGATGTCACGTCGGGGGTGGGGGGTGGGCAGGGAGGGCAGGGGACACGGAACTTGCCCTCCTCCAAACACAAAACCCAGGGCCTTTTCTTCTGAGGGAGTTGCACAAATTAGCAGGGTCAGGGAGAAAGCAGGAGAACCCCACGGGGCAGCGACACGCCCTCATCCGTTAAGAGGTTTAGCTGCTTCTCCTACTAAGGGCCCAGAGGACAGACAGGGTAGGCCGGGGAGGGCTCGGTCTTACCTTCGCGTCCTGCTTCGTGAGGAAGTCCACGAAGCCGAACCCTCTGTGTGTGCCTGTTCCGGTCATCTTCTTCGGCAAGCGGACGGTCTTCAGCTCCCCGAAGGTGCTACAAACAAAAGGCAAAACACAGCAGTTTAAGAATAGAGGCCTGCAAGGGGGCTGGCGTACGTGTGTGGGAGGGCAGGACCAACTCTCACACATGAATCCTTTCTGGTTAGAAAAGAGAAGTACTTGCGGGGCATGTGTGGAGGCACGTGTGTGTGTACACACACACACACACACATACAACAGTGTTGCCTTCCCACTGGCTATCACATGCTCCGGGGCATGACTGGCCTTCTCTCCTTTCAGATCCTGGCCATCACGGTGGGTGGGGAGCGATGACCGGGGTTGGAGATGCTGATGGAGAATTTTTGGTTCCTCTCTGACAGGCTGGCACACTCAGCCTCCCCTTGCCTGTGGGGCTGTCTGGCAGGGGGCACGCAGCCCTGCACACGCGTGGCCAGGGCACAGGGCTGCTTGTGTGCTCAGGCCAGGGATCCGGACTCGGAGTCAGCAGGGTCTCCTGACCTGAATCTGCCTGCACGGCTGAGCTGAGCACACAGCAAGCCTGCGTGGAGCGAGCAGGATGAGCCTCTGCCCCCGGCCCCGGGCCCGGGCCCCGGGATGTTTCTTCAGTGCTCAGTGCTGGAATGACACACAGCTACTCCCTTCTAAGCCCCACGTCCCCTACCTCCGGGCTTTAGTTTTGATATCTGCTAAGCCCAAGTCAGGCAAAGCTTTGGAGAAGAAAATGGCTTGGCTCCCCCTGACAGGGATCAAACAGGTAAACACAGCTTGGACCATCCCTTGCCCTCCCCCAACCCTCTCCTCCCAGATAAATGTTCGAGAAATTCCCAGACAAAAGGATCAGGCCTCTCTGGCTCTCCTGTCTCATTCCCCCACCCCAACCCTATCCCGATGGCCATTTATCAAATATATATGCACAAATTGCCACTGATAAATATTTAACGTGTACGGCATCTGAAGAGGTGTTATTTTATTTGAAAATCTACACACACTTGTGGGTGGCTAGGCACACGGCACATACACTCAATGGCCTAGGATGCTTCAGGGCCAAAGACCGATTGGGTAAAAACACAGTAAAGGCCATAAGCTCTCGTGAAATGATATAAGCTAAATCCGAGGCGTTAACCCGCAGCCCTGCCAGCATGACCAGGCATCTGCCAGCCCAATTTCTGAAGGCAGGATGGTGTGTAAATGCGGCATTATGAATCCTCAAAATGAATCTGCACGTCTCCTCCGAGCTCCCCCAGCAGCTCCCCCCCAAGGCTGGCGACAAGGCCAGCCTCCCGGGGAGGGGAGGGGCTGGAGGGGGTAGGCCTCGGAGCCCTGTCAGTCTTCCAGGCCTGGCTGAGGCTCTAGCTCAACCGGAGGGGGCTCGAGGGGGTGTGGTTGGGGCCCAGAGGCTGGGCAGGTGGGGACAAGCAAGAAGGTGAGGTGGGAGGGCCTGAGGAGTGGGGCCTGCAAACCCTGCTTTATTCTGCCACCTAAAGGCCAAAGCATCCCATGACAGGCACTGCCTCTCTTCCTGCGTGGGAGCCCCAGAGCCTCGGCCAGGGAGGGCAGTGGCCAGATGAGTTTTCTCGTAGGCTCATTCAGATAAACGGTCCTTTGGCTCCAAGTTCTTCAGACAAATGTAGGGACCGCAGGGATGGTGCATCTGATGGCCATGAGGACCCAAGCGCGACAGTGGTCAGACTCAGACTAGTAAGAGATGCACCTCCACGTACCCAGGCCAGCTGGGTGCGGTACGGACAAGGGTGCGGACAACCCTGCCCCAGGCTCCAGGCTCTTGCAGGCCTTGGCTTCACCACTGCTTCAACTCCAAGCAGCCTTTGCTCATCCCCCCAGGGCTGGGCTGAACGGCCCCCCGCCCCCCCAGCTGTCAGGGCTCACCGTGCTTCTCAACCAGGGCACCGTGATGTAGACACCTGGGCGCTCTCTGCCTTCCCCTGAGGCTGGAGCTCAGCTCTGCAACAGCAGAAACCACATCTATCTTGCTCATCAGGGTATCTGCAGCAAGGAGCCCAGTGCCTGGCCCAGAAGGGACGTCTGGTGGCATTTTGGAACAAACCAGTACACGGTAGTGACCACTGGTACCTTACCACTAACGCCCAGAGGGCTGTGTTGAGTAGGACGCGACACAGGCCATGGGGCATGTACCAACAGCACAAATGTTCGTTAGTAGTCTTGCCATCCCCATGTCACGGATGGGCAGACTGAGCTCAGGGAGGCAGCGGTTCCAGATGTGAGTCTGGGTGGGTCTGATGGTAAGCGGGAGCTCTCTTTCCACAGTAATGTTTCATTGATCCTTCAATTACCCACATGGGGACTGGCCACTTTCGGGACTGGGGTTCTCTTTCGGAGGCAGGGCCCCATCGGGCGTGAAGCCAGTGTGGGGCGACTGGGAATGGCCTGCTTGGACTCCGAGGGATCCAGTGACTTACCCAAGACCCCAGGGCAAGAGAGGGCGACAGTCCCAGTTCCCTCCGCTCCCACCATGTGTAAACCACCTGCCTCTGCCCGCACAGATTCCGATCCTATCCCTTGATGGTCCCACTGGCCTCTGCCCAGATTTCTTCATTGCCTTGTCTAATTTCTGGGGAGTTAGCCTATGTGTGTGCATGAGAGAGGGAGGGGGAGAGAAATGGCTGAGGTTAATTCTTCCCTCTGCAGCGCACTGCAAGCTGCAGATGCCCTATGCATGGCAAGCAGCTAAGGGTCCGGAGAAAGGCAAGGAAAATAATTAAAAGGTGGAGAAAAAAGCTGATGAGGAGAGGCTGAAGGTGGTGTGCTGATGTGGCCCGGAGAAGTGGCATCTCCGAGCTTGGTAGGGGGGCCATAGCAGAGGGGTGTCCTGGACCCACGAGGGAACGCGTGCACAGATCAGGGGCTCCTGTCCCAGGCAGCTGGGGGGCCTTAGGGAGGTCGCAGCCCCCATCTATAAGGCACAGAATACTGGGTCCAAAGACTCTAGTGGCTTCAGAAATCCTGTTATTCTTCAAGGGGACCAGGGAAACGGTCCTGATGAGCATGTCTCCCCCTTTCTTCTGAGAACAGCACAAGAGAGAGCTGGACTTAAGGAGCAGCTGCAAGATTAGGGTTAGATCTGAGAAGGAACTTTCCGATGTCTAGGAAGCCCTGAGATGAACGGGCGAGGCTTCAAGACACCATGATTGCTGCCATGACCCCAGCCACCAATGACCGGGTGCCTGTGAGGTGCTAAGCCTTTTTTAAATACACCGTTTCCAGGTATAACAACTGTGGGGACAGTAGGGTGACTGCCTCTATTCTCCCAGGTGAGAAAACCGGAGGCCAGAGTGGCCAGGGGACCCAGCCACGTCCCCCGGGACGCGCTTTCTCCCGGCTGCCAGTTCTCCGGCCCAAGAACAATGCTGGGAAGGCGGCCGGCCCCGGCTGCTTATGTAACTGTGCGGGATAATATAAGGCTGGTACTAATGATCTTGGAGTGATATCGAAAGAGAATTAAAAAGAAAAAAAGAAAAGGTTGGGGGGGGAATCGATGAAGTACCTTTAGCTCCTTAGAGATAAGCGATAAATACCAGCCATTATTAAGGTTCTTATCGGACAGGAAGGTCCACGGCGCCATTTTTAAGAGTGGCTTTTGAAGGAAGTTCTGCATGTACCCTTGTCTCTGGGGGAGGCCTGGCAGGGCCACCAGGGACCAGAGAGGGAGGGAAATCGCGGGGCACCCAGGAGCTCCCCCCCCCAGCCCAGACCCTGCCGCTCGGGGAAGGAGCTGCGTGTGCTCCCCACTGTGTAGATAATAGAAACCACAAAATAGCAATTACTGTATCAGAAGCTGTGAATAAAGAGGACATACCGGGCTTTTAAACATGGCCCTCTTTCCCTCCCCCACCACGCTCACACTTCATAACAAACTCACACCTCACTTTTCCAATTACTTCATTCACCTTGGGTTCACCAATTACTGCCCCATGCCGCAGCCCCACCCCCTCGGCCGCACCCAGAGCACGTGACTGCCGGCAGACCGGTGGCTTTTCCACACCTGGAGTTTGTTGTCACGTTTCTAATTCCTTCCGAGGTGTGTAGGGGTGGGAGGAAGAGAGGGGAGGGAGAGGTGGGGGGGGTGTGAGGTGTTGAGCAAGGCGAGCCAATTATGCCCAGCCCTCAACCAGGTCTGGGCATGCAAATCATGTCTGCACACAGGCCTGAACGCAGACACAGTGTGTGTGTGTGTGTGTGTGTGTCCACCGATCTCCTCCCTCCGCACACGCTGCACACCCCCCAGACCTGAACGCAGACACAGTGTGTGTGTGTCCGTCTGTCCACCGATCTCCTCCCTCCGCACACGCTGCACACCCCCCAGACCTGAACGCAGACACTGTGTGTGTGTGTGTGTGTGTGTGTGTGTCCGTCCATCCACCGATCTCCTCCCTCTGCACACGCTGCACACCCCCCAGACCTGAACGCAGACACAGTGTGTGTGTGTGTGTGTGTGTGTGTGTGTGTGTGTGTGTGTCTGTCCGTCCGTCCACCGATCTCCTCCCTCTGCACACGCTGCGCACCCCCCAACTGGACTCCAGCCCTGGCTGGCAGCTGCTGGGGTTTGGGCTCTGCTCCTGAAAAGGGATGAATCCTCCCCTCTCTCCGCTCCTTGTTTGAAGCGATGGGATCAGGAGAAAGGAGAGAAGTGAGGGCGAGGCACAGAGGGCCCTCCAGAGATGCAGAACTCGACCGTTGTGCATCTGCTCTGATGCCTGGCTTCTGGGGCTTAATGAGCTGACTGGGAGGCTGGCCTGCCCCTCGGACCTGTACGCTGACACCAAGTAGGGGTCAGGCACACCTTGAAGAGCCTCGGCCCCTCTGCTCCCAGGACGTAAGTCCTTATCACTCTCCTATTTGGGTTTGCTGGAGGAGCCAGCAGCGTAGCAGAAGTGCCGAGTCACGTGGGGAAGTCTGTTGGCACGCCTTCTCTTCCACCTGCGCTCAATGCACTGCTGGGGGGGGGGGGAATCTCAGTTGTCCCCCAAGGGACCCAGAGTCAGACAACAGTGTGGT